TTTTGTCTTCTCTAGGAGCTCAGCATCTGGCTCAGCATCCCAAGTTCTCTGTTCCTGAAATGTTTTGGGATCACACCATTACTAGCAGGGCCAAGACTTGATCTCTTGGCAACACTGGAGATTAGCTCCAAGGCCTTGAATTGGCAACAGAAAGAGAGGCAGAGGCTGCTTGGAGCTGTTTCCAACTGGGCCAGGCACACAGTCGGCAGAGGATGTAATCCCTCCCCAGGGGTGCCATGGTGATCACAGAAGAATTATGAATAGACAAACCTCACAAGCTCCAAGGGTGAGAGCCAGTTCTCAGGACATCCCAGCCACATAAGCTGACCGTGCCAGTGACAAGGGACTATGGAGCCAAGTTTGGGCAGCCACACTGACCTGTCACTCCTTAGCACTTCCTGTTGGTGCATGAGGACATTCCTCCATCCAGGTGCCCAATGACAATCCCATAACCTCACTGTTTCTGAGCCAGGATCAAAACCCATTGCCTCACTCCTTCCCAGGGACTCTCCTGCCTCATCCTGCACAACTTATGCCTGCACAACTTAACCCACTGTCTGCTCTTCCCATCTGATGCTGCTTTGCTCTATGTTTCTGAGAGCCTTGGCTCCCTCTCTCTCCTTCTCCAGTCTCGGGGGAAAGTAGTTCCCAAGGTGCTCAGAGCAGCGAGGCCAGAAAACCAGGGCACTTCTCCAGCTCACCTAATTGTTGGTTACTGTCCCTCTCCCCTGGTGCCTAATTAAGTGGAGCAGGAGGAAAGCCCAGGAGTAGCTGCTGAAGGCACAGGAACACGTGTGCACATTACAGAGAGGCTGGTGAGTGTCCTCATCCACGCTGCTTCAAAAACAACAGGAGGAGAGTGATGCCAGGGATCAAGCAGGAGCAGTGCCTGGACCTTGTGTCTAGACCTGGATGCACACCTGTGATGTGACAAATGCTTCACACATGCTTGTTGCTAAGTGATCTGCAAGACAGCTGTCAGGTTCAGAGCAGAGAAGAGAGCTCATCCCAGAGGAGTTGCACTAGGGATGAGCAGGACCAGGGCTGGTGGCCAGGCTCCCTCCTGGGCTCCAGTTCTTGCATATCTCCCACCCCAAACTTCAAACCACCCCCTTTCTATTAAATTTTTGTCACGGATCCTTGAACCCAGTCCCAGGAGTGCATGGGACATGAAAGACCATCTTGAAAGTGATTTCCTGTCTGCCTCAGCCTTGTAATCCCTTAGAACTGTGGGTGGAGCTGGATGCTGGTCCAGGGTCAGACTGAAAATCCTTGAGCAGAACTGACTCTCCCATAGTTTAGTGAGGATTTCAGAAGATCTATTTCAGCGTTGAATCTTTGCATCAAATTTATTGCAAGCCAGAGCTGCCTGAACCAGCACCCGGCTGCAGTGTGTTGGAGGGGAGGAATCCCACTCCATCAGCACAACATCTGCGAAGCTGCAGTCCCTGGGAACGCATCACTGCAGGCAGGGGAAGAGCTGAGCTGGTACTAGACAGGAGCCTGTCCCAAACACGATGTCAGCCCAGCTCCTTGCTGCATTGCCACATTCCCATGCTCCAACAGCTCTGGTTCTGTGTTGGCCAGCCTTGCCCAACACAGGCCCTGTCGGAATCTGAGGTATTGATGATCCTGAGATTGTAGAAAGTCTCTGTCTTTCTGCCCCGTTGCCAAAGAAGAAGCCATAATTCGTCTGTGCTGGTTTCAAGGTTGTTTATTCTGTTTATCTATAACATGTTCTGCTGCCCTGCCGCAGCTCTGTCCTGCAGGGCAGCGTGTGGGGCTCTGCCCTCAGTGGGATGGTACAAACATTATATACCAGAAACTACCTGTACTATATTTACAATAATGTGCCAATATCTAACATCTACGTTGAACGGCGTGTCCCCAGCCTAAACCAACAGAAAAATGCCAACACTGCAGTGAAACATGGAGGGCATGAAGAAGGAGGAGAAGGACAAGACACACCCAATTTCCTCCATCTTGTCCCCTCTGAACCCCTAATCTAGAAACCTAAAATTTTACTTTTGCACTCATGACACACTTAATTATTACTCATATCAAACACTCAGAGCTTGTAATTCACCCTGTAAGATTGAAAACTCTTTTCCATGGACAGAGATCACAGACAGTGTCTCTGGGGGCTCTGTCCAGGGGGGTTCCTGACCCCTGCCAGGGTCCCAGGCAATCCAGGGCAGCCAGAGGGAAGCCCTGATTCCCACAAAGCCCGAGCCCACGAGGGCAGTGAAGGCAGGATCCCGAGCACAGGCAGCACGTGGTGCTGGCTGCTGGAGGCATGCCCACCTCCTGCTTGGCTGTAGCCTTTGGCTCTCCTCCTGCTGCCTGCCAGTGCACTTCTCCCGATGACAAACAGTCCCTCGATGTCACCAAGGACCACGGTGCAGTTACACTTCTTGCTGAAAGAAGCACTAAGGGCTGGGGGGGTTGGGCCTTTCTGGCTCCACATCTCCCTCCTGCAGCCAGCCTGGCCCCGCAGGGCTGCTCCGATGGAAGGTGGTGCAAACTGGCCAGGACCCTGTTTAATAAACTAGGGGGCTACACAGGAAAACTGGAACAAACACAAAGCAGGGGCATTTGCTTTGCCAGGATGCTCCAGCCAGCTCCAGGCAAAAAGTTTGAGCAGCCAAACTTTCCCTGCTCAATATTTGTGTTTGTTTTATCCCCGTTGCCTGGGCTGTAGTGAGAGATTTATCTCCAAGAGAGAAAAGGCAGCTGGATTTGGTGGCATATGTCTCCTTTGGGATCCAGCCCATTTTGGGCCATGCATGGCTGAGAGTGAGCTTAATGTGCATGACCTGAGCTGAGCGACTTCCAACAGCCTTGGGAAGGTTTAAGCAACAAGGTGAGCCTGGGGTTGGACAGGACATCCCAAAGCAACGTGGCATCCTTCCCTGCCTGCATCCCTACCCGAGCAGAGCCCAGGACCCTTCACACACCCGGTACCCACCATGTCCTGTCCCACTTGTGCCAGGGCTGGTAGCCTGGAGAGGTGTGTAGCCACAATGAGTTCCCAGATGCACTTCTGAGCAGTTCTGGTTCCACACATGGGCACCGTGACAGGGCTGCGTGCATTTAAACACACCCTGTGATCTCGTTAAAGTCTGGGTTTTAACAAGTTGTGAGCACAATGCTGTGTCATCATTAGCACTGTCTGTGGAGGAGCCCCAAGCACTGCTAACCCAGACTATACAGCTCTGGGGTTAATTCCAAAGCCAGCCAGCCACAATCCTTTATGGTTTTACCTACCTGCAAAGGAACGGCAGAAATCCAGAGTCAGGTCAGGTTCCATATAAGAAAAGAAAAGACAAATCAAAGAAACCAAGCTTGGATGCAGCCTGTGTATGATGTGGTGTTATTTTTTTTTTCTATATACCCATGGATCTTCAAGATGGACTTGCCACAGCTGGGTCTGCCCCTCTATGAACAGCCTCAGGAGCCAGCTTGCCCTTGGTGTGGGTCCCTCATAGTGTGTGCATGAGCCCTTTGGAAACCACTACAGGGGTTGGAGGGCAATAGCAGTGCTGAGGCCTCCTGGATCCAGGCTTTGAATTAGAACTTTTTTTTTTGGTAGGTGAGCAGTTTTAACACAAGTGCAGTCTGACTTCAGTTTCCCCCTTCCTCCCCACCAGAGGATACCAGCTGCCCAGGCAGAGTCAGACACTTCCAACAGAAGATGTGTGGAGAGGGGAAGAGGCCAAAGCATCCAACTCCATATCCACTGGCATTGCCAGGGGAAATTCTTCCTGAGGGTATGAGAGACGGCAGCCACACAGCACGGTTTTGAGAGTGGAGTCACTGAGTTAATTTGGCTTTCCAATCAACAACAAGGGAGGTCATTACTGAGCTGCTCATGGCTCTCTGTCCTGACACATTGCTGCCCAGGGCCTGGAGCTTGGCAGTGGAGCAAAGAGGACGGGCTGGGGGCCTGGGTGAGGCATTCACCCCCTGCCCAGTGAACAAAGCCCAGTGCCAGAGAAATTCACAGCAAACAAGGGGATTGGGATTGGTGCTCCTAGAGACAGTTGCCCTCCTGCCTGTGCCAGGGCACCTAATTTCCCCACTGAGTCCTCCCCTTCCTACAGCCATGCCTGGATCATCTGAGCAGGGCCTTGGAGCTGCCCTGCCCTGCATGCACCTGCACAATTCCCAGCTGCACATGGACGCTGCTTGCTGTCCTACCCCTGTAGCTTTGCTCCTGACAGAAGGTGTACCCAGCCCCGAGAGGTGATGCTTTACATGCAAACCCCAAAATTTATTACAGGAAAACTGGTCAAGAACACTGGACTCAGGAGTAGGACAGTGAAGTGCCAAGGCTGAAGCATGATGAGGGTGGAGATTTTTATCATCAGGGTGGGATGTAGCAAAGTTTTTCTCTCTGTAGCTGGGTCGATCACATGCCCAGAGCCTGTAAAGGCATGATAACCCTGGGCCAAACATGCAGCTACTGAAAAGGTGTGACACACAACTGTGAGCATCCCTGGCCATACATGTCCTGACATCCTAAACACTGAGTGTGCTCCATCAGAGCCACCAAGTCCCAGAATATCCCCCTTCTGCCAGTGCCCTTTATAGCAGCTTTGCTGGGGCTGGAAACACCTTCCAACGGGTGGGACAGAGTGCAGAGGGTTGTTCTCTCATCCACCACTCTGTGGGGTGCAGCCAACAGCAGCTGCCTCCACTGTGCCAGTGCTGGTGTCAGCAAAGGCCGGTTCTCCACTGGCTGTGGGGTCTGGCAGCTCATGGGGACCCTGCCTGTCTGCAGCCCCGAGCAGGATGGGGCTGGGATGGGATGGGATGGGATGGGATGGGATGGGATGGGATGGGATGGGATGGGATGGGATGGGATGGGATGGGATGGGGATGGGGATGGGGATGGGGATGGGGATGGGGTCCAGCATCCCGGACAAAAGAGCTGGATTATTCGGTACAAGCATACCCCCTGCCGACGAGCTGGAAAAACACAGCTCTCCGGACAACACACCCTCCCCCCGAAAAACCCAACCAAACCCAAACCAGCTGCAGCCATGGGATAGAACCGGGCGGGGCAGGAGGAGCGGTGGGGTGGCTGGGGCAGCCCAGAGGTGAAGCCCGGCGGCTGCAGAAGGGCCGGGCACCGGCAAGGGGCTGGAGCCGGGAGTCGTCCACAACAGGAGTGAAAAACCCGCCTACCCCGTCTCACCAGGCCCGGCATTTACAAGTTTTTTCCTCAAGAGGTTTGCGGTTTCCAGCCTTTCCCACCCGGCCCCTCCGCGCAGCACCCGGGACCTTCTGAGCCCCCTCAGCCCCGCAGGCGGGAGGAGCCGGGGGGCCGTGCCCGGGGCATCCCCGGGGCTGGTTTTTCCGATGCTTGCGGCTGGATTGCACTTTTCCCTCAGCTGTTTGATTTTTTTTTTTTTGTGGTGGTTTTTTTTTTTTTTTTTTTTTTTTTTTTTTTGTTTAATTCTGCTCCCCCCGCGGCGCGGCTCCCCCCGCAGTGCTCCCGCCCCGCCAATCCGGGCCCTGCGGGGCTGGGGGGCTCCGGCAGCGCCTTTAAAAGCGGAGCCCTTTGTGCGCCGGAGCCCCGCACCGGCAGCTGCCGGGGCCGGACCGGGATGTGCCGTGCCGTGCCGTGCCGTGCCGTGCCGTGCCGTGCCGTGCCGTGCCGCCGCCGGGAGGAGCCCTGGACCTCACTGCACCGGCAGCCCCGGGACCCGCGCATCCCCCTCGGCAGGTATTTCATCCTCCCCCCCCGTACCCCAATAAACGTGCCCGGCTTGCCCCACTCGCCGTTTTACCGGGTCTGGCCTGGTCGGCTTTTATTATTTATTTATGTACTTTTTTTAATTTCCTTTTTTTTTTTTTTTTATTTTTCTATACCCGTCTTCCTTCTTCCGTCCCTCGCAGCCGCTGGGTTGGGATGGCGGGGCTGAGGGCGTTGTGCTGGGGGCACTGGAGCAGGCTGAGGTGACAGGGATGCTGGAGCGGGATGCTGCCCGCTGGTGGATGTGCCGGGGCTCGCTGGGGACAGCTCAGTGTCACTGCTGCTGAGGGTGGGGTAAGCACGGAGCGGCTCCGTGGGGTCTGGCATTGTACGGTGTCTCGAGGGGGTGGCATCAGCACTAGTGGTTTCTGCTGCCCTGCACTGGGTGCTCTATGGGCACCTCCAGACTCTCTTCCCAGTGCCTATGGGCAGACCTTTCCCAAACCCTTTGAAATTTGTCCCTAAACAGTCCTACAGCGCAGCCACCAGCTTTAGGGGGACGCCAAACTAGCCTGGGATGTCCCTGCAGCTGCCTTGTCACCAAGTAGTACCACGAAGAGTGGCCGCAGGCAGCGACTGCAGCCGTGCTCTGTCCCCGGCCAGCACTGCTGAGGGGGGACCTGCCTGCATCCCTCCAGCCCCCAGCTCAGCCCTGCCCCACCTCTGCATTTTGGCCAAAGCTCTGCTGCAGTCCCAAGCCGTGCTGTGTCCTTGGAGGCAGAAAGATTTCCTCCTGGGGTGACAGTGGTGGCTGGAGCACCACAGGCACTGGATGTGGGCTGTCATTTCTGTCCTGTCCCTGGCTCCCGGGCTGGGCTGGGAGGGGGTACACTGGTGGCTCAGGCTGGAGCTGGGAGACTGGGCAGTGGGTTCAGGTATGTGGCGGTCGGTGAGCTGTCCCCCCGGGCTTGCTCTTTGCTCCTGGGTTCGCTGGAGTGCTGGGAAAGCATCAGGCTTGACTGGGAAGGGCGAGGGGCCCTTTGCCCCATGGGAAGTCACCCAGAGAATCGTTGGTGAACTTGGATGCCATCGCGGCACTTCTGTGCCAAAGCCACCAGCCTTGCCTGAGCAGAGGATGGAGAAGACATCGGTCACAGCCACCCATGGAGCCACCGCTCCTCACCCCTGTTGTTAGAGGAGCACTACTGCCCAGATTGGTGCCTGGAGCAGCCACACAGCGCAAGGCCCTCCGGCTGGGCTTGCAGTCCCCCGTGGCACTTGGGATGGGGACGAGCCCTGGCTGGGGACCAAGGCGGGCGCTCGGCAGCCCCACGTGCAGTGGGGAGCCTCAAGGTTATTTTGTTTAAGAGTTATAAGCTGCAGTTATTTGCATGAGCTGGGGCTGACCGCAGGAACCTGCGGCTGCCCCTGGCTGCTCCCGGGGTCCCGTTGGCCCCAGGGAACAGCTGAGGGGCTGTTAGGCAAATTTAGAGGAGACAGGAAACCAGCGCAGGGCAGAGGAGTCTGAATTTCTCTTCTGAATCACTAGGGCTGACTTCCCTGGCTCCAAGATGCTGTGGTGGTGCCTGATGAGAGCCTTGGCAGGGATCCTTCCAAGCTGGCATTGCTGTGGCACCTCGGTGCTGGCTGGTCCTTGTCCCCGTATCTAGGCAGGGCTGGGCACTGAGTGTCCCCCTGCTCCCAGGCTTGACCCCCAGGAATGGCACAGCCTCGTGGTCTCCTCGCTGGTTCTGCAACCTGTCAGCACAGCCACGACCTCCGGCTGTTCTGGGAGCAATGTGCGGTGGTGACTGAGGGGGGCTGGTGGTGGGACAGTGTAGGTGCAGTTTTGGGAAAGGACCAATACTGGCTGTTCTGTGCTCAATCTCTGTTCCCAGGGTCCTTCCATGTGAGGCTTCACAACAGCCTCGAGTCACAGTGGGACTGCTGTGGGCCCGGATGGAGGGGACTCCCCTTTTGCCATGGAAAAGTGGCACTGGCTGCCAGCGTGAAATGTCTGAGGATGTGGCCCCAGTATGGTCTTCTGAAAGTCATCCTGGTATCTTCCTTTTGGCACATGCCTGGGGTACTGGGGGTTAGCAGTGGGTTTGGCATCCCTGCCATCCCCCAGGAGGGCAGGGGCTGGTTCTCTCTGCTCTGTCCCCAGACAGTCCTCTTGCACACTGTCCTTTGTCACAGCCCCTTGGCAGCAGCAGAGGATGATGTCCTTGCCCAGGAGTGCCAGAGAAACAGCCCCACACATCCCCCAGGTACCATCACAACCACACTCTGCCCTGCTCTTTGCACCCTGGTGACCCAAGCAATGGGCACAGGCTGTGGCTGTTCCCGGGGAATCAGGTGCTGTGGACTCTGTGATTTCATGTGCCAGAGGCCAGGCTGGAGGCAGCAGCCTCCTGTCAGATGCAACAGGAGGAACCTGTGTGTGTGTGTGAGCAAGAGAGGCCAGTACCCGTGGGCAAAGCACACACAAGCTTCTGCCACTTCCTCACTCCACAGGAGGGACACGGGGAGTGACAGCTCTGAGTGACAGCCACCACCAAGCGCAGCAGTGTGGCCAGCTCGGCAGCGTGCCTCCTTCCTGCAGACCGAGCCACAGGTGAGTGGGATGTCACCTACCTAACACAGAGGAGCAGAGCCAGGCCTCTGCTATGGTGGGAGGGGACAAGCCTGGCCAGAGCCTGGCATGGCATGGGGAAAAAAATTAGTCACAATTAGTCACAGCAGCTGAAAGTCCCCATTGCCACACACTCTGCCCCAGTGCCTGCTGGAAGTTCCCTGACAGCCAGATTTCCTCTGGCACAAGCAAAGCACCGGGGGTAAATGCCCTTGTGCCAGGAAGATGGGAATCCCAGCAGGATGGGATATGAACAGCCCCCACGCTGTTACCTGCAGCAGAAATGCCCTGTAATGATCCTGAAAGCACCTTTGGGGGACAGAGGCCAGGTGCCTGTGACACAGATTGGCAAAACTGTTGCTCCAGTGGGACACAGTAACTGGTTTTGCTCCTCCAGTATGGTGCAAAGGCTGATTCCCTCTGCCCTTTTCTGGGCCCTGGCTCCTGCTGCTGCCATTTGTCCCTGTGCCCTCCTTCCCAGCTGCCTTCCCGTGCTGCAGGGAGGCAGAGCACAGCTGAAAATACACCTACTGCGTCCCCCCTTCCTGCCTGTTTGCTTCCTCCCCTCCTGGCTTTGCCTTTCAGTGCAGCTTCCCAAGAAAATAAAGGTCATACCCTCATACTTTGCCTACACACACGCAAACACACACGGAAACACACAGACACACACACACACTCATTCACACACATACACAAACACATAAACACACACACACACACACACACACACACACACACACACACACACAAAAGCAAACACAAACACTCACATAAACACACTCACACACACATTTGTGTTCTAATAAACTTTGACCACATTCCCATCCCTGTGGACAGAGGGGCGGCAACCTGCAAACATGCTGAGGTCAGTGGGGCCGGCAAAAATGTGCAGCTGGGAGAGGGAGAGAGGTTTTCCCTTCCTTTAGCACAGAGTCAGGCTGCTCCACCGCTCAACATTGGGTGGGGAGAAGCCACAGATGGTGCACGCAGCACTCCCCACCTGCAGGAAGGGCTTTGATCAGGTTTCACACCTGAGCTGTGCTGCTGTGGGAGCTCCCTGGGGACCCGGGCATGACTGCCAGCCCCCTCCCCTGGGATGGGCCCTGACAGACTCATTCCACAGCCGTGGGGCTCTGAGTGCTGTGCCTATGCCTATGTGCCTGTGCTGTTCAGGCTGGCACCTGAACCCCTGTCAGCCACAGCCTGCACTCCACACACCCCAGAGAAGCCAAGTTCCACCAACGCAGAGGCAGCAAGGTGACTTCAAATGTGCTCATTCCACAGCTCCCCCACTCCATTTTCCCTCCAAAAAAGGCACAACTGCCCAAAACTCCCTGCAGAATCCACCCATCAGTATTTAGGCTGAGAACACAGGAATTGTAGCGATTTGTCTGACATCATTTTCCAGAGAGTTCCCCCCTGGCCTTGGTGTTATCACTGCGTTTCTGTGCTCTCTCAGCAGTGGGGTGCCTGGGGTGATGGGGACTCCAGGCTGTACTGGTGGAGCTGCCCAAGGCTGGGGACAATGAGTGGGTAACTCACAGTGCCCCGTGGGATGCTCTTCCTTCACTTTGTTCAGGCTAAAATGTAATTTAATTATTAAAATACACCTTGGGAAGAGCTTCAGGTTGAGCAGGCCAAGGACAAAACCCTCCCAGATTCTATGGCAGTGCTGAGTCTGGGGACTGCTTGGTGAAGGTGTGACTCCTGGACACGGCTTGGGACAAGTGTCCCTGTCTGTCCCCAGGCAGTGCTCTGGGGGGAGCACACAGGCACTCAATTAGAATCAAGCTCACCTTCCTGGGATGTGACTCCTCTGGGGCAGTGGCATCTACTTCTGGGCAAGCAAGGGTTGCTGGGCACAGAGAGATGGTCCCCAAACACTGCTCCACAGTGCAGGCATGCTGCCCGCAGCAGCCACCCAGCACGAGCCATCCTGCTCACGAGCACAAAGCATGCAGGGGACCAGGACACCAGGTCACAGGAATGTCCCCACGCTTACTCCACCCTTCTCTACTGTCACTCCAAGTGGGTTTTCTTGTTTTGCACCGGCAGCAGGGCCGGGCGGTGGCAGGGCTCTGGCTGGCCGGGCTGTGCCGGGCAGGGTGGGCACAGCCAGGGTGGGCACAGCTCTGCCCGCTCCCAGCTTTGGCCGCTGGCTGTTAACACCGGGGCTTTATGCTCCTTATCACCAGGACGTGGTTTATTCCCAGGAAGGAAGCCAGGCAAGAGCACACTATTAAAATGCTCCAGTGGCCTTTGCAACGGGAAGCCCTCGGGCTTTGCCAAGCAGATGCCTCAAATTAAGGAAGGGGGATGCAAGGAATGGCCTTTAAGCGCCAGGAGGCTGCCCCAGTGCCCCACACTGCCTCCCTCCCCCCTCACCCTCCCTGGGGGGGTCCCTGGGCTGAGCAGAGGGGAGCGTGGTGGCCCCCCCGTTGCGTGGAGCAGGCAGGAAGGGCAGATTGAGTTATCTCCTGTGCCGGGGGCCGAGGGCGGGCGCTGCGCTGGCACCCGGCCCGGTGCAATTACTGCAGCGGCAATTACTGCAGCGGCACGGTGCGCAGCGATGATGCCACGCTGCAGGAATGGCAGGGGTGGCTCGCCTCTGTTCCTGGGGCTCCCCAGGGCTGCCAGGCTGGGACTGGGCTCATTCAGCCGTGCCCTGCAGCCGCTTCTCCCAGCCCACATGAGGGGTCCCACACCTTCCCGGCTGTGCACCCCAGAATGTGCTGCTCTGGATGTTTCCCCTCCCGGAACTTCTGCCTTGCAATAAGCGTGGGGACATTCCTGTGACCTGGTGTCCTGGTTTCCTGCATGCCTTGTGCTCGTGAGCAGGATCGAGCTCTCATTTCTACCACACGCTGCACATTCCTGGTCTTCCCGGTCACAGAGGGAAGCCTGAAAATGGACCTGAAGGTGAAAAGAAAACGAGTCCCATGCCTATCCCTCTCCCAGGGGATTGTAGACAGCTATGGTGGTGGGATGTAGTGTGGCACTTTCCAGCCTCTCCTCAACCAGAATTCACTTCTCTTTCCCCAACTACAATATTTGTTTCTCTCTGAAAAATGTGCCTCCTGTCGTTGTCCTGCCCTGTGATACCCAGGCAGCAGAACACAGTCCCCACCACGCTGTGACAGCTGTTTCTTCCCACTGCACTCACTCCTCCTGCCCCCCATTTGCCCTGGGCTCCCAGTTGCCCTGGTGGATCCTGAGATTGCAATTTTTGGTAAGCTTCCCTCCCTCACATCCCAGGTGCTGGCTTGGACTCCCAAAGCTGGGATGCTCACACATCTCTGTCACCTGCTTTGTTTCTCTTCTCCAACCTTGGCTCTGGGTCAGGGTTTGCTGTTGCTCTGCTTCACAGAAGGACCCTAAAGCCCCAGCACTCATCTAGCACTCAGGGAATCCCCAATCATATTTCTCCTAGCAGACCCCCATTAGCTCTGCTGCCTGTGCCTGCTGACCATCCCATGGGATTTCCACATGGGGACAGCCACCTGCCACCCAGCTGCTTCTGCTGCAGCATGCAGGGAGCTCCCACTGCCCTCAAGTGACCTTGTTTGGGGCCTGATGGGTATTAATCCGTGCTCAACAGGCCACTGGGTGAACAGGCCAGCTGGTACTTGAGGGGTGGAGAGGCATGAGGGCAGCAAAGAGGGAGCTGCTCCTGGACAGATCCAAACCAGGGCCAGAGATGCAGGGAGAGCTGAAGCCTGTATTGCAGCACGGGAAAGCAGCTGGTGAGGGGGGAAGGTGATCCTGGTCCCCAGGGCCACTGCCCGACCGGGTGCTGGAGGATGTGGCTCTCCTGTCCCAGCTCCCAGGCGCTGCTGCAGGAGGCTGGCACGCAGCATCCGCCCCAATGCATCCCAGTGGCACAGGGCACGGGCAGGCCAGCGATGCCCCGGGTTCATTGCGATGCTGAGCTCCTTCGCAGGGAGGGGATGGAGAATGGAACTGAATATTTAATGCTGACAAAGTGCCTTGATGCTGGTGGCTGGAAGGCGCCAGGGAGGGATGGGAGCCGTGATCAGGGTACTGCTCACTGTGCACAGCTCACGCAGGGCAGGGTGGCACCGGCGTGTCCTCTGCCCTGGTGTTCTGTACCCTCAGCTGATGAGGGCAGATTTATGGGTCTACAGCCCTGTTTTGCACCCAGCAAGAGCACCATGGGGTAGAGTAGTGGGGCACAACAGGGGCTGGGGGCTGAGGATGGCACCAGGCACTGGTCCCAGCCCATTTGCAGGTGAGCTGTGCCCTGCATTGCTGCTTGGAATGGTTTCTCCTTGGAAGGATATGGGGGGGAGGGGGGCAATACAAGCCCTGTGCAAGGAGAGATGTTTTGGTTGCACCCACCTTAAAGAATGAGTGGTGCCCAAAGTCAGAGTGACCTGGGAATGACTGGTGTGTAGTGGGAGGTGGAAGAGACAGGGCTGTCATTTCCAGGACAAGATAAACCTGAAAAGGGGGACAGAATAAAAACCAGGTGGAATATGAGGGAAGGAGTCGGGAATGCCATGGGCTTCAGAGGACAGGATGACAGGATGAGGCCCTTGGCAAGAGGGCTGGGCAGGGCCAGGGAGCAGCATCCCAGCTGCCTCCTGCATTCCCAGCCACACATGCCTTCCAGTGCCACCATGCCCTCCATTTCCTCACCCTGTGCCACTTGGGGCCATACCCATGGGCACAGGGGCCAGGACAGGGCAGTGGGGACCCCAGGCTCTCTTCCCAGTCCTGTTGTTGGTTTCAGTGTGGCCAGTGACTGGGGCACAGCTGGGACTGAAGTGCTGGGGAGAGGAGGAGGAGGAAGAAGAGCAGAACCACTCTGTCTGGGGACCCTGCTGCTAGTGCCCAAGGGGGGTCCAGTCCAGCCTGCCTGTGGGCCAGGGCTGTGCCCCTGCCGTGCACTGCAGTCCCCTCTGCTTGCCCCCAGACTCACCCCTCTGCCCTCACACTGAGAGAAAAAAACGGGGGATACAGCCTGGATGTACAACATGAGTGCCAGATGTGAGTGCCAAATGCGTGTGCCCCACATGCACACTCACACCCCCCTGAGCCACACACAGGCTCCCACGTACACCCCCTGGTGCTGATGTGCACACGTGTAGACACTTGCACACACTCCTGCTGTCACACCCCCACAGCCTGGCACCCTCTCAGCCATGCCAGCAGACATGGTGCCACATGTGCAGACACACACCTGCACTGTCACACCTGAGCACAGCGCCACCTGTGCCGGCTGTCCTGTCACCACGCACCCACATGCCCATCCCATGTGCCATGTGCTCTCCCATGTGCCCCATCACATGTGCACGGGCTGCCACAGCGGTGCCCCACTCCTGTGCGCACAGGGGTGCACACACAGCCCCTCTCCCGGGGAGCACCGCAGCCCGGCTGAGCCCCGGACACGGAGAGTGCCGCTTCCACCGGGCTGAGCCCCCACGAACCCATCCCACGTGGACTCGGGATAGGTCTGAAATGCCGCCCCTGGCCAGGCACAGCCCGGGCACAGCGGGGGATGCCCGCGGGGTGGGGACGCCGATGGGGCGGGGAGGGGACCAGGAACACGCGTGCCCGGCCGCGGGGCAGGGGCGGACGGGGCTCTTTGTTCCTGCCTCCGCCGGTCCTCCATGATGTGGAGAGGGCGCGGGTGAGGCCGGCGCTGCGAAATGGCGGCCGGAGGGGCGGGATCGGGGGAGGAGGAGGAGGAGGGGGAAGGGGAAGGGGAAGGCCGGGCGCCCTCCCCGCGCTCGGCGCCGCGCACACAAAAGGCTGCAGGGAAAACACGGAGGGCAGCGGGGGGTGCGGAGTGGCCTCGGCGGGGACCTCCTGCCCGGCCCTGCCCTCCCAGCTCTGTGTGACCCGCTGCCCGCACACCCTCGGCAGGTCCCCGTGCCCGGAACCGCATCCCCGTGTCCCGCATCCCCGTGTCCCGCATCGCATCCCCCTGCCCGGAACCGCATCCCCGTGTCCCGCATCGCATCCGCCTGCCCGGAACCGCATCCCCGTGTCCCGCACCGCATCCCTGTGCCCGCGGGACCGGCCCAGGTTGGGGGGCGGTCGGGGTGCGCGCCCAGTGCCGGTGTGTCGGGACGGCTCGGTTCTGCTCAGCCCAGCCCAGCCCAACTCCCGTCGGGACGGCTCGGTTCTGCTCAGCACAGCCCAGCCCAGCCCAGCTCCCGTCGGGACGGCTCGGTTCTGCTCAGCACAGCACAGCCCAGCTCACGGCACAACCGAGCGCAGCCGTCGGCAGGGTGCCGCCGGTACCGGGGCTCCCGGGCGTGCGTGTCCCGGGATTTCCAGGCGGAGCCGTGCTGCGGCGGGCGGTGAGTCCGGGCACAGGGCGGTTTTGTGCCGGGCTCTGTGTGTGTGTGAAGGGGTGACACGGACGAACACTGGCACCCCAGGGCCGGAACCTCCCGGGCAGCGAGAGCCTTTCCCAGCCGCGTGGCAGGAGCACGCGTGGCAGCGCCGTGCCCGCTCCCTTTGCCCGTGGGGATGGGGCCGTTCCTGGGGCAGAGGCAGGCGATGGGGAGGGGACCCGCCGGGCTTCCCCAGCAGGTCTGGGCTCCTCGGCAGGTAGAGCCGGTTTGGGGGAGCTGCGGGGCCGGGGAAGCTCCCGAGCATCCCGCCCGGCCCGATGGCAGCTCCCCGGGGCACGCAGCACCCACGGGGAACTGGTGGGGAGCATGGGAGTGACCCATACACGTGGGGCAGACCGGCAGGGGGTGTGGGGATAGAAGCCTGTAGAGCTGGGAGAGGGAGGGATGGGCCAGGAATTGTGGCTCTCCCCCTCTTCAGTCTTCCCTCTCATCTCTGCCCCGCCTGCGTGTGCTGAGTTTGTTCGGTCTCAGCCTCATGAAGCGAGGATGGGGACACGCTGCAGCCCCTACCCCACGCCTGCAGGTGTGAGTCGAGCATCTCACATTCTGGGCAGGTTTATTGTCGCTGCAGGCTGCGGGCCATTAACACCCAAAAATATGTAGACACAATAGGGGAGGGGGAAGCTGCCCACCTACCCAAATCATACACAGACCCTGCAGCTTTTCCGACCTGTGCCTGCTTCCCTGCCAACAGCCCAGCCCCTGCAGCACAGCCCCCTCCTCCAGCGCCACCGAGGTGCTGATCCACCTCCTTGATCTTCTCCAAGAAAGCGTTGGCACAGGCAGGTGTCACCGTGGCTGTCACTCTCCCCTGGCTATGGTGGGGGGCTCTGCCTGGCACAGAGGGAGGTGTCCCCTTATGAACCCCCCTGTGTCCCTGCGCAGGGAGCAGGTTTGTGTCCCCAAAAGGTGACACGGAGGCAGGGCACCATCTGGTGGTGCCTGGGCACAGCACACGCCAGCCCACACGAGTGCTGCCCACCCACACGCGCTCCCAGTGAGGCCCCACGCGCTGTGCACACACGTGTGTGCCCCAGTGCCCGGAACTCGTGTGTGTGTGTGCACACACGTACGCACAACCCCACGTGTTAACGCACACCTCCGTGTTTGCACATGCACTCGCCCACGCATGGCTGCAGGCACCCGCAGCTGGGGTGGGTGCCCAGCTGAGCCATGGGTGCCCAGGTGAGCCCATGGGTGCTGGCACAGCCCTGAGGGGAGCACGAAGCTCAGTGGGCCACCTGTGCCACGCGTGTGCCATGTCTGAGCACGCACACACAGGTAGGTGACATGTGTGCGTGCAGGGCAGCGATGCTGTGCCCTCTGAGTTTCAGCCGGGCAGGCAGCACTGAGGAGGTGAGCACAGGGCATGCCTGCTGGATTCCCTCCTCCTCTGGGGCAGCAGGGCTGGACTGGTCTTTATTGCTAGCACGGATCTCCCTCCTTGAGCCTGGGGAGTCATTGGCCCTGTGAACCCTTCCCGCTTGCCCAGGGCATAGGCTGAGGTGACCACAGGTGTGGGACATCGCTGTCCATGGGGAGCGAGGACAGGGCCCTTCCTGGGGCTCCGCAGCCCGCCAAGGCAGTGGCTGCTCTCCAAGGGGTGTGTTCTGCTGCTGAGGTTTTGGCCGCCAGCCTGGCTCGCACAGCTGGAGAGGGAAGAGCTAAATTTAAAGGTGTCGGGGGGCTGGGTGAGGCTGGCTGGCGCGGGGCTTCTCCCTGGCCGCCTGCACGGGAGGCACGGGCATGTTTGCGCCGCCGCGCCCTTTCTTTCACTGGGGAGGCAGAGGCCTGACAGGAGAAGCGCCGCTTTCATCAGTGGGAAATGAGGCTGAAGACTGAGCTTGAGCAGTGCCATGTGCCCCAGCAGGGACATCCCTGCCCCAGCACAGCCCTGAGCTGCTGCATGCATTCACCCCCAGACCCACACAGTGTCTAGCAGCTGTACTGCTCACACCCAGCGAGACACGTGTCCGCTCGCACAGCTGGACGTGTGCACAGCTGGACACACTGACACCCCCCTGACTCCTTCACCTGGGGCCAACCCCTCCCACATGCACCCCACAGCCCTGATCACACCATTTTGGGGTAATAAAAGTACTGTTTGAGGGTATTTACAACTTTTATTTAAAAATCCCTTTCCCAGATAATTTTCAGGGCTGTAATCCAGGCACAAGGTGTGTGTGTGAGCCTCTTGCAGGCAGGATAGAGATTTAAGAAAACCAATAGCAGGAAAGCAGGGTCTCCATCAGGCCCTGAAAAGTGATTTTGACTGCACTGGCCCCCAGGGTCAGTGAGAGCACCCAAATTTTGGGGAGCAGGGAGGCATCGAGCCAGTGGGGTGTCCATGATGCCACCCCAGCACCTGCAGGTACTTAGGCAGCTACGTGGGTGCTCCCACCCCCCAACCACCAGACTTGGGACCCGGCAGGCGCCAAGCAGACTTGGGAGTTTGCTAAAATGAAAATAGAAAAAGAGCCTGGGACATCATCCAAAACTGCTGAGTGTTAATTAATTCATCCCTGTGATGTGATCTGCCCTCGGCCCCAGAACATCCTAACATAGTCACAGCCGCGGCCGCCCACCCCAGCCTCCCTGCTGGCCACGGCCTTATTTTAGAGAAGAGGTGGTGCAGCTGCTCTCCCAGCCCCTGAACACCCATGGGAGCTGAGAACCTTGAGATGTGGGTCGTGGAAGGAGGGCAGCTGTGCCAGTGTGTGTGTGGCCTTGACTATGGGGCCACAGCCACATCTGCCCTACAGCAGCCTGCCAGCTCCACAAAAAAACAGCCCAAAGTTCCCATGGGAGCTGGGACAGCACAACAGTGGGACACCCCATCACCCCTGCGAGGTTGGATGGGGTCCCACTCATCCTTTGTTCCACCCCCAAGGTGAAATGAGAGCATCAATATGCTGGGTCTGGCAGCAGTCAGGTGCT